ATATTAAAGTCATCAAAAAATTATAACATATATACTGTCGGTAGTTTCCGCGAATAGTACACATTTCAATAAAATACTTTAACGGTTTAAAACGCTAAATATACCAGTTAAACTCATTTGAATTATTTAACTACGGCCCGACGTTTCGAATGTTTTGCAGCTTTTACGAGTTTAAATATGACATATATTATTAATGTTCTCGTTGGATTGGTTTTAGAACGATTTACTTTTATATATTATATACTATTTATATTCTATTTATTATTTTTATATACTATTTATATATTTATAGATCCAGGCTTAACATTGAAATCCTGAGTCGGGCGAAGTATTTAGATGTTTTTATAAAATTTCAAGATGTATGTGCGCCTAGTCTCCCACGATACCATCGGTATCTGCTAATATAGTGACTGAGTTGATACAACTCGCCAGTCAGATCAACGGGGTAAGACTTTCGTGTGAGAGAGAAGGCTTGTGCCAAGGGAAGTTGATATTTGTGGGTTCATACTAGAAAATTCTAGATTAAATAAAAATATAACATTTTTTTTATCTGACAGACATTGTAGCTGCGTCTGACAAGGTATTCAATTTTTGAATTTATATTTTAATAAAGATAAAACTCACTTACTTAACGACATTTTAACAGCCATTGTATTTGATATAAAACGCTGAAATATCTTAGTTCCGAAATGTACTTCGGACATTCGTATCGTGTTTATATAATTAACTGAAGTCTTATCTAGACACGTACCAGGTTCGATCCGTACATTTTTCAAATGATAGTAGATACAGACAATAGTAGATACAGCATTAGGTGAAATTGATGGTAGCTTATTTACCCCAGCCTATAGCAGCTAAACAAGTTTCGCTGTCGACCTATTTTGGCTTTGGATATTAGGAAATCCACAGACTGAAACCGAACCGCGATTAAGCTTCACGGCTTTTTCATGTGTGAATGAAATTTATATATTTCTATTACCATTATAAAATTATAAATTGAAAAATGAGAAAGATGTTAGATTTTAGGGGATCGTACCTACGACCCGTTGATTATTAGCTATACAATGCTATCATTAGACCAACGAGCCCGTCAGATTTAGTGTAATCGTCAGATCCAATACTGTTAATTGGATATAAAAATTAACTAGATTTAAAAACGTTTAAACGCTCATATAAATAAACAAGTGACCTATTTATCTAGCGTTATTGACCTAACGTATAATAACGATATTTAGCTCTGAATGAAAAATAAATTAAAAAAAACGCTTTAAATGTTGTCAAGCGCTTTCAGCGAATGCGATGAGAGCTCTGCATGTCACATTTTGCTCTTTCAAGGTTGCCTCTAACCTGGTTAAATAAAAATAGCAAGAATTTGCACACGACTTATATTAGATCTGGTGTTTATGTGTTTAACTATAGAAAACAAACTTATCACTAGTATATTATACTCGCGACTTCGTCTGGAATAGTTTTTTTCTTGCATTATATTTTTTTTTGCAAAAACCCGCTTCATAAATTTTGGCTAGGACTCACGACGTCGTCGGCGTCTGACCGCGTCGTTCTTGCGATTTACTTAAAATACAGATATACACCGTCGCATACATTTTTAGATCATATTTTTACATAGCTTTAAGGCTCCACTAATCAGCGATACTTTTTCTTTTTTTCTCTATATTTCTTCTCTTTCTTTCTCTTTTGTTCCTTCTATTGATTGCAGCCTTATATTTTATAGTCAAAAGCCTTCCTTAACAAAAAGGCAAACCACCACAAAAACAGATTTCCAATTCAGTAGTTTCTGAGATGAGCGCGTTTAAACAAACATACTCTTCAGCTATATAGAATAGAAAACTAAGCTTTGGACTCACGCGGCCATTTTGCAAAGCTACTTGAATTTCCAAGCTGTTCGAAGTCATAATTGAGTAAGGATCATCAGAGATCCGTTCCTCTATTACCGAGCGCTCGTGATGGTGAATCGTTGAGAACTTTACCCCACTCCGACATCCGAACAGCTCGTTAGTAGCTATACATACTTGTTTCATTATAGAAATACATTTTATTAAAATAAAACACGTTAACGGCATAAAACACGTTATATATTTGTTAAAAATATTTGATTTGAATTATTTTAACTACGGCCCAACGTTTCCGATGCTTTGCAACAGCTGCGGTCACGAAGTAGTTAAAAAATTTTTAAATAAGTTTCGCTAATATATATCGCATATTAAACCATTGAAGTGTTTTATTTAAATGTGTACTATTCGCGTAACCTTCAGACAGTAGTTAATACATTTTGTCCTGAATAATAAAAAAAGGCCAAAAGTCACTTCGCTACGTAGATAAAGTGGATAAAGTACTATGGTACTTTATTCTCTCATACAATATGTTGTATCATAGTTACCAATTAAATTCTAATGATTAGTTTGACATAAACGCAGGCTTGTAAGCCGCTTCTAGTACCTTTGGTATTCTTTGTTTAATGTAGGAGGACAGGTTTGACATTTCACGTTTGTATTTGCATTTTTTCTAAACGTATCACAAATATTAGCTTAAAAAGAAAATCGATCGTGAAGTAATTTAAATTGATATATAATTAAAATTAGATTTGAAGGTCGCAATATAATTATTTCGTTATGGTAAAGTAAAAAATTGTACATAATATGAAACCACCTGTATGAAGGCGAAGAATCTTCCTTGTACAACAATGAAATTAAAAGTGAATAAAACAATATTATCTGACTATAAGTATACCTACTTACGTACATAGATTTCAGATTAGTTTGCAAACGATTATTAATCGATCACAACGTCATCGCATTGCAAATTGTCAAACTTGCAGTTCTAAAACAGACAAAGTATAGTTTAACGCGGGCTTCAAGAGCATTAGCATTCCAGTGCCTTGTTAGTATTACCTCTCTCGTCCACAATTCGTACACAAATAGCGCAAAGCACTTAGCATCATAGCGCCAATTATAAAATCCCCGAGTATTGCTAAAGTCAACGCTTTAAAATAAATTGAGGCAACGTATAGCGTTCTCGCTCAATTAGGCGGGCGTGTTGCAATATATTCAGCGATTTAATCAGTCGTATTAAGTGCATTGTTACTGTAAATATTTATTAATCACACTTATTTGCAGTAAGCCTCGATAATGAAGCGTTATGATAAGACCCGATCGGATTTCTGTGTATCGTTTAATCCGGTGTTGTGTTAATGAGGATAAGACTAGATATTTTAATGGCTCAGAACTATATACAAGTGCAAATATGATCATTTATTAGTTATAGAACTGGTAGTTAATGTGAAGTTGGATCGCAATATTGCTACCATTCTGCCAATGTCAATGTCAAACACATTACTGTCAAGGTGGTGGAGAAGAGACACGTCAAATAGAAAAACTAAGTATAAATTAAAAAGATTATTTTCTTAAATAGATAAGTAAAAAATATAAAGAAGGAATAAACGGTAGTACTTTGGTCTTTTTCATTTTGTTAGAAAAAATCAGGAATATAAGTGTACCTGTATAAATAAATAATGTTGATGTTGACTTTGACTATTCGTCAAATACTGTTTGTTGTATACGCGAGTAGAACACATTAAAAAAAGCACGTATATTATTTAAATAAAACACTTTAACGGTTTAAAACGCGATATATTAGTTAAACTTATTTGATAATGATTTTTAACTTCGGCCCGACGTTTCGGATGCTTTGCAGCAGCCGTGGTCACGGAGCTATTTCCAAATAAGTTTACCTAATATATCGCGTTTTAAACCGTTAAGGTGTTTTATTAAATGGATTTGTTTATTCCTAAAGGCTAACTTAATACTTATATAACATAGACGGTCATGACTACGGTATTATAAATCGGGTGAACCATCTCACAAGAAAGAGTTGAAGATGCCATGATTGCGTCACATGTCGCAGTGCTGCCATCTATTACATTTAACTAATCTAATGGATAGTTTGTTTAACACCTGTAAGGGATGCGGAAGTGTCAAAAAATACGTGTGACTTGAGTATACTCAATATAGCGGCATTCACGTTTAACAAACTGGCGCAAGCGCCCTTTAAACGCGAGTCTAGAGTTCGCGTGTAAAACAGAAACAGTCGCTATCCACTCTAATACCTATTATTAACAATAACTTTTGCATCAGTGTATTTAGTTTATATGTTAAATCCTGTGTCATCTGTCACATAATGTATGCGTATTCTATTTAGATCTAAAAGAATTGATGATACAGGTGGAACTGGGAAAAAGTATTTTACATATTTGAGAGTAAAAGAAGGGTCTACACTTGGGAGTTTTTATTTAATAGTTTAAATAGTATATAATAATCTTCAAACCTTATAATATACAAATTCATATTTATATATAAAGATACCAAAACAGAGTATTATTTTTATCATTACATCAGCTTCCATAACGCAATCTTTTAGCTTTGCAAGGACAAATTTCAATATGAATTGTTTGATGTAAAGATTGGATTGGCTTTAAAAACTTTGTACAGTGGTATCCAAGAATAAATAAAGTGCACTCAAAGAACGAGCAAAAGTAAATAAGAAAATGGCGTGATGTTTCACTAATATAAACCATTGATAACTTTGAAGTTCGGTAACCGCTCTCTTGATAGGTTTTCTAGACGTTCTTGTTGAAGTTGAATGGAAATAGACAATTGTATTACAGATACAACTTACCATTATTATAACATACAAAGACTAAATACGAGTAAGTGTCAGAATAAAACAGCTAAATGCAAGTCGGGCTATCACACAAAGGGTTCCGTATGATTGACGAGAAACAAATTTCATATTGTCATTTTTTTATTTCTTTTAAGTTGCACCATTTGTATACAAAAAGGGTAAAGTTTTGTTTTTTAAAAGATGCACGATTTGTAATGACTTCAACTTGCTATCATAAGTATAATTTATTGTATAGAAGTGCAAGTAAAATTTATTTGCTCAATAAATGTTTAGATATGAATTCGATGTTGTTAAATTCTTAAATGGTGACGACAATTAACATCAATCTCTTTCTTGCAGAAGTACCTCGTTTCGAAGACAGCCTCAACAATTTGACAGTATCTTTAGGGCGAGAAGCAGTCTTTACTTGTGTTGTAAATGACCTTGGCTCCTACAGAGTAAGTATTTAATATATTTTTAGCATTCATCCAGTTCACCTTAAATTTGAATATCATAATAATTGTACGTAAATTTTCGATTTTTCTATTTGAAAATCTCTTGTAAAGTATTCCTTTTTAATATGTAAATACTATTAATTACTAAGTTAAACGTTTCGGCCGGCCAGGGCACAGAATTTTAATCTAGTACTCTCCTGTAAATTGTAACGAGGTAGTTTAAATAAACAACTTGACCGATTAAAGACTTTAATTTTTATCCACTATGACCGTAACAGAGCTTTCGCTTTGATTAGTCCCACAATTAGAATGCCTAACCAAATGTCGTGCACGCGCTTTCGCGCGCTTTTCCCGATACGTGCATGCACGATCTGTCATCTCGGGAGTGAACTATCTTTGTCACTACAGACTGTATCACACCACAGACTGTATCACATCACAGACTATATCACAGTCTACGGCTCGGTTTGTGATTGGCTCTGTTTGCTAACATGATGGTTAGCGGCTGGCATGGCTGGCTTGGCTGGCATGGCTGGCATGGCTGGCATGGCTGGCATGGCTGGCTTGGCTGGCTTGGCTGGCTTGGCTGGCATGGCTGGCTTGGCTGGCATCGACTCGGCTTGTAGGGCTTAGCACAACATCTTAGGTAACGCGTTACAATCGGCCATCCTGCAACGATTGCTCCCGCAACGGGAACAAATACGTATTTAGCTTTCTAGTAAATCAATCAAATCCTCAGTTTCTACTTGTTCGTCACCACTAGAGTCACTTTCAGATACTGGGGCTATACTTCGATAAGGACGTAATGCGTCAGCAGAAACCAACCCCATAAAACTTTTATACCCACGTACCCCCTTTATACTTCTGATTTTATACCTATCATTACCTAGTACTTTAGTTACAATGTATGGACCTGAATAAATGTCATCTAGTTTGGTATTGACCTTGGCGGCACTACTCGTCGGAGCCTGTTTCCACAAAACCAGATCATTCTTACTATACACACGACTTTTTTTTCTACACTTATCAAAATTACGTTTCATTTTAGAGCTAGCTTTATCCAAACGTTGTTTAGCTTTTTGACGTTTGTCTTGAGTCGACTCAAATACTCGCCCCGGAATTGAAACATCGCATACAGACCTAGCATTTCGGGAAAACATCAGATCAAACGGCTTAAACCCCGTACTATCATTTAAAGTGTTATTAATGCCCCATATCACATCGCAAATGCTATTTGACCAATTGTTCGCCGCTTCGCTTGGATCTGTAGCGCGTAATGCGTTAAGTATAGTTCGATTGGTTCGTTCCACTTGCCCATTTGCCCTAGGGCACGCAATAGTAGTTAGAGTGTGCTTTACTTGTTTTTCTGTGACAAATTTTTTAAAGTACCTGCTAGTGAACGCTTTACCATGATCCGAGACTATTCTATCGGGGTAACCAAACAAACTAAAAACTTTTTTTAGTACTCTTATTGTCTCAATAGAATTTAGGGTTCGGGTTGGTTCCGCAACTACAAACTTCGAGAATGCATCAGTCATAACTAACATGTAACTATATCCTTTCTTTGTTTTGCAAAATGGACCTAAATGATCCACATGAATTACTCTAAACGCCTCGGCAGGTTTAGGAATGGGATGTAGTAGCCCTTCTCGCCTACCATTTTCACCCTTTCCATACGCACAGTGTAAGCAAGCCGTCACATATTTTTTAATAAAACGACTCATTTTCGGAAACCAATAATCATTTTTGATTAAATCTGTACAACGCTTTATTCCTACATGTCCTATATCATCGTGATGCATTTGAACGATTTTCCACCTAGCTACCCTAGGAACAACAAGCCTATTTCCGTTAATAGTCTGTCTATATAATCTATCGTTAATAACTACGAAGTCCCTAACTATGTCCTTATCTGCGGCGCCCGATTTTAATTGATCGATAATACTTTTGACTTTTTCATCCTGTATCTGAACCGTATAAAACCAATCTTCAGACCCCAACCTATACACATTGACCGTATTTAATGCGTTCCTACTTAAAGCATCAACGTGTCTCATTCGTTCTCCGGGTCTGTATTCAATATCAAGGTCGTAATCCTGTATCATCAACCACCATCTTGCAATTCGAGGAATTAAATCGCGTTTAGTTAAGGTCGAACGAACGGCTGTACAATCAGTGACTACCTTTACTCTTTTACCTACTATGTAAATTCGAAACTTCCGTAGTGATTCAACAACAGCAAGCGTTTCGAGTTCATAACTGTGGTACATACTCTCATGTTTAGATGTTATGCGACTAAAATACATGACTGGCCTCAAAGTGATATCAAGTTGTTTTTGTAAAAGGATGCCCGCTATCCCGGCCTTACAGGCATCTGTATGAATCTCAATCTCGAGAGAAGGATCATATAAAGCTAACACAGGTTTAGAACACAAGCGTTTCTTTAATTCTATAAAACTCTCCGCCTGAGTAGTGCCCCAATTCCAAGCTACATCCTTCTTAGTTAAATCAGTTAATGGACGAGCTATTTGAGCAAACTTATAGATGAATTTCCTAAAATAACTGCACAACCCTATAAACTGCCGAACTTCATGTACATTTTTGGGTGCTGAAAATTGTGAAACTGCATTGAGCTTATGTTCTGCGGGTTGTACTCCATGTTCAGAGATCTCATGACCCAGATAAGTAACTTTTTGTTGCAAAAATGAACATTTATTCATATTTAATTTAAGATTTTCTAATTTAAATTTACTAAGTAATATTTCTAACATTTTAAGGCCACCCTTAACACTTGTTGAAGGTAACAAGATATCGTCTAAGAACGCTAGTACTTCACATGAGTCTTCGAGGCTATTATTGATTGAACTCACTATCCTACTAATTAGTCGCATGAACACTGCGGGTGAATTTGCTAACCCAAATGGCACTCTAGTATATTCATAATGCCCTGCTTGACAAACAAAAGCACTTTTGTGAGTATCTTGTGGCTTTAATGGAAGTTGATAATAGCTTTGTGCCATATCGAGACAAGTGAAATATTTTTTCCCTGACAACTTTGCTATATGATCTTCAATATTAGGCATAGGATACCTATCTTTTATTGTAATTGAATTCAAGGCACGATAGTCTACACATAACCTACTATCACCATTCTTTTTCTTAACTAAAACAACAGGAGATGCATAACTTGATTCGGATTCTTTTGATAATACCTGCATTTAACAATTCGGTAATTTTACTTTTTACAATGTCCTGTTCACAATGTGATAACCGATAGGGATAGCGATAAATAGGCTTTTCAGTGGTGAGATTGATTGGCATTGAAATGAGATTAGTACAACCAAGGTCGTCAGTACCCCTAGCAAAGCAATCCTTAAATCTAACTAACAATTCTATTAATTGTGAATATTCACTGTCTGTTATTTTACCAATATTCATATCTGCTATTTGAACACCCCCAATAGTATCTTCAGGCTTTAAATGTAACACAGATTGCACACAGTTAGTAAAATAAGGAAGGCTAACCTGGCTATCTATGGCTGGCTCTGAGCAATCCTCTGCCCGCGTGAGGATTTGACTGGCGTCCCATGTTATGTCCTTTTGGCCGCTGTTGATTATCTTTATGTAACCCAAATTGCCTCGCAGAAGCGTAGCTGGTAAAGAGTAAGAGATATCTCCAAACTCATAATGTCGCATAGCACTGCATACATTGTTGTCTTCGCGGTTTCCTTCAACTCTTACTCGGATAATTGACGTTCCCGGGGGTAAAGTTTCTTTGGCAGCCGTGACGACGATATACTTTCCCAATTTTTTTTATGTCATTAATTTTAGATAGAAAATCACAATTCTCAATTAATCTCAGAGTGGCCGCGCCATTTTCAACCGTCAATGTCACGTTTTCCGCGTTAATGACAGGCTGTCCAATCAATAGGTCTACGTCACCCATCTCTGCGTCTGTCAAGTAAGCTTCACTAGACATTTCCACGTTATCTATTTTCAGATTTATTTGAACTTTCCCGCGGGATGTAATTAAACCGCCGGCAAATCCTTTAAGTATTATTTTCGTTGGTATGACTTTCAAGGAAAGGGCAGTAGAAATCTTCGCGCTCATTACATTTACTTGGCTACCAGTATCCAGATATGATTTGATATAAATGCCATCTACTTGAGCTGTTTTTTTGTAGGTATCGTTGTAATTTTGAATTAATTTTATGTCTCTAACACCACCACCGGCCGAGTTTAAAATCGAAGTATCACATTTTGTGGCTATATGTCCTTGCTTACCGCATTTATAACACAGGCGTAGATCTGGCATGGAACAATTACGCAGCATGTGACCAACCTTCTTACATCGTGGGCACGGGTCGTTTTCATAAACTTTTGGGACAGTAAAAGGTTGGTTCTCTTTGCATTGCGGGCGGGTGACAGATTGTCCCCGATAGTCATCCATTGCGCTAAGGAACCCTTCGTAAAGTTCATCAGGACGTTCGCATTGAAAAGCAAGTGCGTTAGGTTGCAAGGAAGCGGGTAGGCCGCGTATTATACATGACACGCTAGCAGCATCCGATAGCTTACATCTAAAACATAATGTAGCTTTATCTTGATAATATTTGGTCATAGATTCATTAGGTAGCTTTTTCCTTTGCATCATTTCCTCTAGCAAAGAACCGTAATCTCGATGCTTCGGAAATGCGCGTAGCAACAAGACTTTCCATTCTTGCCACGTATGATCATAATCATCGAGTCGATTATACCATTTGCGAGCCTGACCGCGTAGCTTGTCTTGAAGGTAGAATGCCTTTACTGTGTCACTCCATGTATATATCTCTCCCAATTGCTCGATCTTATTTATCCAGGCCGACACCGTGCAATCGTCGCTGTCAGGATCGAAATCGGGAATTAGCGATGACGTTCGTTGAGGGTTGCTTGGGCCGGCGCTAGAGATTTCCTGATTTAGATCGTTCATGGCTCTTTTTACTTCATTTTGAAGCAATTGCTTTAACAATTTCTTGGCAGGCGGTTCCTCATGATTTCGGTCGGTGTTGTTTTTTTTGGAGGAACTGTTTCGGCGGACGCCGTGTCCAACTTTATTGCGCTTCATCCCACTTCTGAATTGTAACGAGGTAGTTTAAATAAACAACTTGACCGATTAAAGACTTTAATTTTTATCCACTATGACCGTAACAGAGCTTTCGCTTTGATTAGTCCCACAATTAGAATGCCTAACCAAATGTCGTGCACGCGCTTTCGCGCGCTTTTCCCGATACGTGCATGCACGATCTGTCATCTCGGGAGTGAACTATCTTTGTCACTACAGACTGTATCACACCACAGACTGTATCACATCACAGACTATATCACAGTCTACGGCTCGGTTTGTGATTGGCTCTGTTTGCTAACATGATGGTTAGCGGCTGGCATGGCTGGCTTGGCTGGCATGGCTGGCATGGCTGGCATGGCTGGCATGGCTGGCTTGGCTGGCTTGGCTGGCTTGGCTGGCATGGCTGGCTTGGCTGGCATCGACTCGGCTTGTAGGGCTTAGCACAACATCTTAGGTAACGCGTTACAAAATAAAGCAGATCTGTGAAGCGGACACAGAAATGCGTTCGCCCCATACCCCGCGAGGAAAAACAGAATTTCACTTACTTATAGATATTTAAAGCGTTTTTAGTCATTCGTCTTATTAGCGATTCGTAAATTTTTAGCTGTTAACATATTTTAGTGATTTTTTGTTAGTTACCTATTATTATTTACTAGCTGTGTCAGCGCAGAATAATTACTTTGGGATTACAAAATTGTTTTTTGGTTGTCTTGAACCGTTTCCGCAGCGTACGCATCCGAAATCCACAGAGATGAATTATTGTCTCCGTTTTCTCCACATTTCCTGCTTTTTTCTTCAATCCTATTAGTCACAGTGCAATTTTTTATAGTATATAAGGCTTCCTTGATAAACGCTCTAACCGACACAACAAGAATTTTCAATTCGAACCTGTTCCTGAGACAAAGCGTTTAAACAAACGCAAACAAACTTCCATATATATTAGTATGACAAAAGTAGATGACAAAAGTAGGCTTTATACTTCAATATTACACCAACAGGTGGCGTGGTTACGCGTGGACACGCAGACGATCTTGACAATCGCCACTCATGTTATCACGAAGAACCATCGGATTGCGGTAAACCACAGCGACAGGAGGGTGTGGTTCCTGCATATACATGATGTCCGACAGTCCGACAGAGGCTGGTACATGTGTCAACTCAATACAGACCCGATGAAAAGCCAGACAGCGTATTTAGATGTCGTCGGTTAGTAAACATTAAACAAAGTTTATGACGCCGATAACTAATATTTTAAATGGAAATGGTTATAACAAAGAAAGAATTGATGTTCTCTCTCTCTCTTTTTTTTACCTTTTTTCTACATCTAAACAAGATTTGCTGTCGACTTTTTTTGTTTCGAGACGAAGTCCAACATGTTTCGGAAAAATTATGTCTTTGGAAACTATATTATAAGAGCTAAATAGCATTACCTTTACTCCCCGCTGTTGGACAAAATCTGTTAAACAGTTCTGATAATTACTTTAAGATATATGTTGTATTTACGTAGTATCGTGGTGATTTTATCCTGCGTTCAAATAGGTGTATTTTCCTATCCAGAATCTAATTATAATAAAGTTATTTATGAGAACTCGTTACAAAGATGGATGTATGACGTTATCGTGCTAGGATCTAAACATGATCTCTATAGACATATTACTAATTATATGTCGTTATCAGTAGAGCTACACAATGTAAGGTTTTCCTACCGCTGGCGAAACTATGATCTTCTCTTTAACGCTATATAGTTGTCATTTACGTCTATAATGTGTCTTTTAGAATGATTTGTAGCAGGCTGTCTACTCGTACACATATGAGTTTGAACGAAGTAACAGAAGGTGACATCAAATAATTAAAGATGGAACAAATAGTATGATTCTACAAGCAAACCGGAAGGTTTGAAGGGGACTCCTTGAGAGTTGCATAACCCAAAAACTCTACTAGGAGAGATGGGAAATGGGTGAAATGGTCAGCTGATGCCGTGGACTGATAGCCCGGCCTACTTTGGGTGTCCCCGATAGAAAATAAAATAATAATAATACGAGTAATATTTTATCATTGCACATAATGCAGACATAGAACTATTGGAAATATAACTGTGTTTGCTTTTCGAATCGTATACATTTTGATTCATGTCGCTAATAGATAGATAGCTAGTAGGAACACCTGAACTAACCCTAATCGATTTTTTGTTGTAATTAACTCATTATCCTACTTTGACTATTTGTGCCAATATATTATTGACTTTAATAGTAAGATATTTTTATAACACTATTAAAATAGGTAACTAATTATTGTCTGTTGGTTACGTGAGTAGTACACATATAAATAAAACGGCTTTTAATAGTTTAAGACGTGATTTATTTACAATTTATTTCACCAAAACCCGACGTTTTGGATGTTTTGCGTCGGCCTTGGTCAAGGGGCGTCTTAGTTAAAATAAATTGTTAATATTTTAACGAATATATTTCGTGTTTTAAACCGTTAAGTGTTTATTTTAAAATTCATACTACTCGCGTAAAATACATACAATACTTATTGATCTGAATAATATGTAGTAAGCTATTTTTTAGGATTTTACCTAGGTGCTGTTCCTTAAAAAATTTTTTTTTAAAAGTTTAAAAAAGGCCCCTTAAAAAAAAAATTTTTTTTTTTTTTTTTTTTTTTGTTTTTTTTTTGGGCCCCCTTTTTCTCTTTTTAAAAAAACAAATTATAGAACTTTTTGACTTTAACTGAACGAGATTTTATTACACTTTTACGTATATAAACTGTAAGTAAGCGTGCTTGATAAGCCTAATGTATAAATGACAATAATCACACAGCTTATATTTAAATAATGGTTTATTGACATAATTAACAATTTCCCAATTGTAATAAAATCAAATAAACGTTTTAATAAAGCGGTCGAAGCTTATATTTAACTGTAAATTTCGTTAAGCCAGCGTCGGTTTATATACAGTCGTTATTCGCACTTCATTTCCACATGTTTAAATTATTATTTTTAATCCCTCGGGAGGTGGGTCCGCTCTCGTAGCGATACGTTAACATATTTCAATTTTCATGAAGAAATACTGATAGAGTTTACGATTGAACGAGTTTATTTTGAGTTTCCTTAGCGAACGGCAGAACGAATCAATTTTTTAATTTACTGTTTAGCGTATTGTTAGAATATCCTATATTGCTTCAATGCGTTCTTAATCCTTCATCGGATGCATTCTTCTAATGATAGCAATGTTTGGGTAATAATCAACGGGTCGTGGGTTCGTTCTACAAAATCAAATTATAATGTGTCTGAAGCATGTAAAACTTTGTCTGAAAAATCTGGATAGTCCGCTTGGGTTACGAGGTTGGGTTACTTAGTCTACAGATTGACAAACAAACCGTTAACTGTATATCTGCGTATTGGATTTAGTCTGTGGATTTCCGAATATTCAAAGCAAAAATAGTTCGCTACACATCTTGTTTAGAGAGTTAGGTATTTCTATATCCATCTAACTCGTTCTTGTTGTATATCGTGTGTGTACTATTTTACCTTAAACAATAAAATGAATATATTAAAGTTATCTCGTAAAGTATTATTAGTATATACATTGACGATACAAAAAAAGTATTTTAAAATCTGTTATTCCTCAAATATATAGGTTTTGTAGGACAACGATTTTTATCAAATATAACGATGGTATTTCATATGACACACGTAAAAAAGGAACCATTCAATAAAATAAAAGCATTTCACCTACTAGGGAAAATAACAATAAACTTTATGTCAATATATAGCGATGTATTTATTAATTTCTTATTCATACGTCAACATTGAATGGTGAAGTTTTAGAGCTTTCACTGAAGGCAGTAATATTTTATGACGCACGTCGTTCGGGCAGCGAAATGATCGCAAAAATATTGCACAATAGCGGACTATAAGGAAAACATTGTCTCAAATGTAATGTCAGACTTATTAAAAAGAAAAATACATTATTTCATTAAATTAGACGATTGAGTTCAACTATTTCATTAATACATCCTATTACTCTTCTTTCCTGAAATTCAGTATACTAGATACAAAAGAAAATAATGGTTCCATTTAAGTGATAACAAAGTAACAATGTGTTTTAAACCGTTTAAGTATTTTATTTAAATGTGTACTATTCGCGTACTACAAACAGTATTTAAAATAACAATTGTCAAAATTTATACATGTTAAAACTTCTCATGACAAAATATTTTATTGCCACTTTTAAATAAAACACTTTACCTGTTTGAAACGCGATGTATATTATGTTAAACTAATTTGTAAATTACTTTTTCCAAACGTTTTTTAACCGTTAAAGTGTACACGCATAGACTATAGACAGTATTCAATGCCAAACAAATACAAATCGGTGTAAAACCTTAAGTACACTATAACATATTATTTCGTTATGCTAAAGTCCATTAATATATTCTAACTATGACAAAGACGTTTATTATTCTATGCTTACACCTCTCATGTCAGTTCCGCCAGATATCCTGGACTACCCCACGAGCAGTGACCAGGTGGCGAGGGAAGGTGCCAACGTCACCCTGCGATGCGCCGCACATGGCGTACCTACCCCCCAGGTGGTGTGGAGGAAGGAGGCCGGCGATCTACTTCCTACTTCGAACTTTAGCGATGCGCAAAGTGAGAAAATTTCCTATTATTCTAGTTACTATTGTGTCTTTAACTGTTAGATGTTTCTATAATTATAGCTGGGATGTGATGTGATAGTTAATAATAGAAGTTTTTAATCAATTTTTCTGTTATTTTTTATAAATCTATATAACAAAATCATAAAAAGTAGCAATACGTTACCTCAAGTATATTCCCCTGGTAATTTTCTTTCAACCTAAATCGCGTCGTAGTTAAAAAAAGTACCATATTTTTCCCGTTTAAATCCTCTTATAATTTTAAACACTTATAAATTTGAAATAAACTAAGACGCAAAGAGAAAATACAGAAATTGGTTCTTTAATTAATCTACTATCACTTAAACTTTTGACCACTAATAAACCATACCTTTATACTCAATATTTATACCTAATATATTCAATATTTTAAAATACTAATGATTCAAGGTGTTTTTATTTTATTTTATGTTACATATCATCTATAAGCGAAACGATTAGTATATGTTAAATAGTATGTTGATATCCACTATCAGATAAATATAGCCATACATTACAAATGACAAAACCATTAAAAATACCCCGCCGTTATTCAAAACGGCAAACAAAAAGGCAAATCTGCGTAAAAGCGCAGTAACTTTTACGAATTACCCTTTAGAAAAAATAAAAGCACTGCAGGGTGGCTCGACCCCTCACAATACTACATTTTATTGCCAGAAACAGAAAGTCCGATTACTGATAAAAAATAATTTCCGCAATAAAGGGCAACTCTTAGGGTTAAGGTTAATTTGTACACGACAAACGTTAAATGCAAGGGAAATTATTTTATCGTGAAAGTAAAAGCTCATGTTTGTGGCGTGATTTTTTAGATAGTGAGTGAGTCACCATTGTAGTTTAAGACCTTATTGTGATAGTGGAGGAGACACAAGCATGGGGTTGGCTTGTTGGTAGGTGAATATGCCAGTCATGAAAAGTCTAAACAAAATACGCTGTCGACATATTTTAGATCTTTTTGGACATTCGGAAATCCACAGACTGAGATCGAAATGCGATTAAGCTCGACGGCTTTTGTGGACGGTGGTTTGTGACCCGGATGGAATTTCGATATTTCTACCAACACTTTAATATCCAAATTTCCAGACAAAGTCCTATGTTTTAGATAAATTATAAATTGATTAGAAAACTATTGGACCCGGTGGGAATCCACAACCCGTTGATTATTAGCTATGCATTTCTATAATTACACCGACGACCGATCATCAAATCTTATTACTGTATTCTTTGTTTGAAATATCTTACTTGTTTATACTTTTTTTAATAAGAAGAGGTAGTTTGCCTCGACGAGTTTTCAAGCCGTTCAAAATTGGAATTTGATAAAACTTGCTGGGTTTGGTTTATACTATTTTAAAAGATTCGTGTCGCGCTTAGTTTTGTTACAAACTAATTGCTATTTTTCTTTTAAAAGCTGTTGCTAAGCTGGTCTAGGTTAGGGTTTAATATCAAAATAATATCCATTTCGTTTTAGTGGTGAATAAGAATATTGTAAATGAAACAACCCGATATTGCACGGGTCAAGTCGTAGGTTTAAAGATGTCCCCAGTGCAACATAAGGACAACACAATTCTGACTCCAGTCACTAATCCTATTTCAAAACATTACAGTGTCCGACATTGGAAAAAGGCAATATTTGTCTACTGTTTATATGGTGGAAATTCGATAATATGATGCGAATTTTCCAACGTCCTTGTAAACCAATTTTCCATAATGTATTAACGATTCATCGGTATTGGTGTATCGTATATATAAATAAAGGTTTTTAAACATAATATAAAATAACAAACGCTTTATGATAAATACTACAGATGAACTGAAAATGGCTTGAATGAAAACCAAATATCGATTCTCATTTGTTTTATAAAAAAATCTGATTTCAATCAACGCTCAAGGCAAAGTTGAAATTTAACCCGACTTTTGAAATGGTATATAGTGCGAGTAGCTTGGCGTATTGTAAATTGATCTACTATGTGAATAAAACACTTCAACGGTTTAACACGCGATATATATTCGTGAAAATTATTTTAAACTCCGGCCCGACGTTTCGGAGGCTTTGGAGAAGCCGTGGTCACGGGGAAATATTTATCGCGTTATAAACCGTTAAAGTGTTTTATTTAAATGCGTGCTCGCGCAACCTACAGACAGTATTTAATGGGTCTACTAGCTTTTCAAGTTAAATAGGTAAGATAAGTAATATAGTAATAAGTTCCTTCTTAACTCATAATTCAATGTATTTTCTTTCAACGACGAAGCTGTAGAAATACAATTTTTATTTTGCGTAAAACTAATATTATCATGGTGAAATGGATTCCAAATATAGGTTTGAATAATCACTCAAGTATATTGTATTTACAAACTCCATTAAAAACCCTAAAAATAGATTGAGTGTCGTTTTTGTTCAATATTTTAAAACGAAGTAATGAAATGGAACGTTACGGTGTAACGCCTAAACTATGTTTATTTGTAAAAATCTACAAAAAAAATACGGCACGGGCGGCACTCTATATTGAATTTTATAATGCCAGCGTATACAAAACATGTGAAACATATTGAAGTTTTCAAGTCTCTTTGCATGATCTAAAAAATTGGCCGCGACAGTATACGTCTGCCTTTTAACTTATAAGAACGACGGGACGCGACCGACGTCGTGGGTAACATTTATAATGTACGTAACGTGTACGAAGTCTCGGGGCACAGCTAGTATAATTATACAATATTATCTACTCCCGTAACTTTAATACACCGCTCGTACGATCATAGAAATGTATCGATATGTCTGTAACTAGGACATAAATTAATTAATGAGTTTGATAGATATTAAGCTCCTTCCAGACACTTCTGTCAGCGGCGCAGTGTTGCACCTAGTCAAAGTGTCACGGCTGCACATGGGCGCTTACCTCTGCATCGCTAGCAACGGGGTGCCGCCCTCCGTTAGCAAACGAGTCATGCTCGTCGTGCATTGTGAGTATCATGCGATCGTTCACAACTGCCACTGATAAACTTGTTGACTATTTGTTCTGTTATCGCTCGCTGAGCTTTAGCTTTACCTCGTCCAACCATACGAATTTATATAAGTATTAAAGCGATTTGTTGCTCGCTAACCTTATTTTAATTTAGCGCTCTTTGCCTATTGCCCCATTCATCGTTTTCGCTATGATACTTGAGGAATATATACCAAACTTTTATGGGGACATTAAAACTGCCACCGAAGCAGTTAACTGAGCAGAGAATTGATACTTGCTTTGATTTATTGCAGTTCCGCCAATAATGACAATACAAAACCAATTAGTTGGGGCCAAGGAGAGCGATACTGTATATTTAGACTGCCATTCCGAAGCATTCCCGAGGTCCATAAACTATTGGACGATAAACGATCAAATAATATCGCAGAGTAAGTACTGATTTATTGACGTTCAAATAATATGCATCTTTGTCTTATATGCAATTGGCGGATTCGAATTCTAGAAGAGTCGAGAAAAGTATATGTCAGTTAGTAAGAGGCGTGCTCATGGTTTCTTCTGGGTGGAATTTCATAGACGAAATTTCTGCAGATTAGGGGATGGATTACCACTACTCGTAATTAATTAATTAATTTCTATTGATCAATTTGTAATAGAATTAATTTTAACGTTTTAAAAGAACGAAATAATGTACGAAGAATATATTTAGTATTCCACCAAGAAATTCACTTGTAGAGTAACCCATTCTTGGAAACCCGAGCGCAAAATCGTATATAGTTAATGTCATTTTTAGATTTTGTTGCTAATATATATCACGTTTACGAGAGAATCTTGAAGATTTAATATTTTTCGTTACAGCTGACAAAAGGTTTGAGATTACAGCCGTAGAGAGAGGATACGAAGTGGATATGAAATTAAAGATAAAGAAAGTCGGTAGAAGTACTTTTGGGACGTATAGCTGTATTTCGAAAAACTCTCTCGGGGACACTGATGGCACTATCAAGTTATATTGTAAGTAAATAAATATGCGAACAGCTTTACGGGGTAAAATATTATCTAGAAATATTTTTTCCTCAATATCTTACCTTACTTGATTAACACACAAAATCTGTATGAGAGGCTAAAAAGAGTGAAGTGAATATTAAATTTTCGCCTGTATATAATTTTATGTCAAAGTTAAAGAGTTAATTTATTCTTAAGTTCTAAGACAGTAAACAACTGAAAAAATACGGACAATAAACATTAAATTTTAAAATTAATCATCTCCATTTTATGTAAAAAAAATCTATTATGTGTTGTTGTATGTATTTAGTAGGTAACAATCTTAATTTTCCCCCTTTATTATTAAAAATAAAGTTAAATTAACCTTAAGAAATAGTATCTCTGGGTTTTTCTTATAAATCATTATTACCTAGATGATTGAAATATAAAATAAGCAACGTTAAAGCATTCATAATTCTATGCATTTCGAATCAAATACTTAAGCCAACGTAGCTCCAGCGGAACTGGTGAAACGTATTATATAAACACAAAGCCAAACTACATAAGGATTGACTCTAGTCTTATTCTGAAAGCATCTATTCTAGTACTCACTAGAAATATACACCATGTGACCTAATTCTATTAAAAATCCATATCCATATCCAGTGGTCCATAGAAATCAAAGTAAAAAAATATAGCTGAAAATCTACTTCACAAGAAATATTAATATATTACAATTGATTAGTCAAGTTAAATAAATTCTAAACAGAAACCACATAAAGTGTTTATTCTTTGCTAAGTTATCATTGTCTAACTTTTCAGACGTCGAAAGCCGACGACTGAAAGTTATGACATTTGTAACTGATGCAATCGCGAAAATCAGTTAAAACTTTATTATAAAGAGTTTTGGACGCCATAAGTTTTTTTTAAGTTTAACGTATTTATGTCAGCACGGAGCAATAATAGATAGATCAAGAATGATGCGTTATTAATACAAAATTAATTTATTACTCGAACGCTAGATGTTTTAAAATAACTGAATTTTTAAATATAGGAAAAATTAACTGCCTTCTTATGCAGTATTGTCGCTAATGAAAAACGTTGCTTCTAATGCGAGCGACCCTGTTTTATTTTTTAGGGATTCTATAAATTGTTTCGTCCGTGCTAAAGGGGAAAAAGGTTAGTTAGAACAGAGGCAGGTAATTATTGAATTTACGAACGCATCGTTTTTCTTTCATAACCTCTAATACTTTTTTAATACTGGTAACATCGAACTACACGTCTGTCAATTGCCAATTCACGTCAATATCAGTGTCAAACAGAATAAAATTTGACGGTTACTTTACGAACAATACAAACTATACAAGTATGGACGGATTAACACTAAATGCATAATACAACTAGTATTTGTAACAAACTTTATAATTAAGATATATTCAATTAATTATTTTTATATTCCTTTTTTAATTACGTATCATAATAAACGTAGAGCTAATTTATTCGGTCGAGCAATATTATGTACAACTAGTTGCTCTAAAGTCTAAAGTGTGTAATAAACTGAATATTCTCCATATTTACAGCTCTCTCAGGAAAATTTGAAGAGATGCAGTATAATGACGTAGATTTCGAGGAAACTCCGGATGTGAGTGAATTAGAAGCGCTGAAACGAAGTAATGGAATTAGAAATAAGGTTCATGTGCTATTATTAATAGTCCTTTTGGCCATATCATAATGCTATTTGTATATAAAATAAATTGTTACATTAAACCTTTTGAGTGTACTCTTATTTCTGTAGTTAGTATATTCTCTAGAGAATTTAAAATTAAATATCTTATTGCATAAAATTTGGGCCAAAAAATAAGCTAAAGGATAGGTATATATTAACGCGATTATAAAGAAATATACTATTTATAATATTGATTACGTTATAAATATGAATTTAGAAGTGTCCAGGTCTACTATTTCACAAAAATGAATTCTTAAATTTACTTATATTTGCAGCATTTACTTACTGGTGTACAATCAATATGTTTTTATCGATCGTTAAATAACAGGCAAGGAATTACAACGCAGGTATCAAGGTAAGTGGAACTAATTACAACTGAAAAAAGAAAATATTTTGCTGGAACATTATTACCTCAATTGTAATTTTATCAAGAATCCCAGGCGTTCGGCTTTTGAACGTATCGACGAACTTACTTTGATCCACTTATGGGCTTTGCGGGGAAGCCGATAAGAAAATGGTTTTCTCTCAACGTTTAGTATGTGTTTGTTAGGAACTCTATTGTAGCAATGTGTTTAAGTAGTAAAGATGTGAATTCCGATGATAGTGACTTAGTGAAAAGCATCGCCATGCACTTTCATCGCCATGAACTAACTGGGAAACCTTGGGCAGGACCCGGGGGGAGGGAGGGGGATCAATCCTCAAAAAAGTATAAGCGATCATATCTCTCAAATTACATCTGATTTATAGATTTATAAAATATCATGACATCTTCATGTCACTTTTGCCGAATTACCTCCGAAAGTGTTACTATAAACTTGATATGGGATTACACAATACAAGAATCAAAACCAATATTGAATACAATTTAAAATGTTGTATTTTAAATTCATATTTGTATAAAAAATACAACGTCTTGTATAAAACAAAGTGGGGAATCGGAATAAGACTCGTACATTCTGATTTTAAAAGAGAAAAGTGATGAAAAGTTAAGAGTGTTTATTTTAAATCCAGTGCCAAGAAGTAGTCCATAAAACTCCAGATTTCATAGACTATAAACTCAAATACACTGTAACTGTAAGTAACAAAGTGAACTATTAAGAGATTCTTATATAAGTAATTCGAAATTAAAATAAAGCAGCACCTGCATTTATAAGTGTTTAAAAACCTCTTATTTCGCAGTGAAACTTTAATGGGCCGCTTTACTTGTGCAAATTACCTTCACGTTTAATTTCTTAACAAACACTTCATCCTCACTTACCTTTGTCTACTTTTATATTTAACTTCTGAAACAACCTTAAACTTTCAATGGTGCTACTTACTTAATGACGTGTTAAAATGGAAAGTTTTAATGGTATTTTATGATACGTTTAAGGTGAACTTTTAATTGACGATAACTGAATTATAAATATGGCATGTCGGTGTACACTTAGGGCGGTAGGTCGATGACACGAAAAGTTGAAACGTGAAATGTATCGCGCAGTAGCCGTCACTTCATTTCTTCATTATTTGACTGAAAAAGCCCTAGACTTCATAAGCATAATCTTATAATCCTATATAAGTGAAATTCCGTTTCTCCGTTTCAATGATCGGTTTTATTTACAGGCAAGTAGTTGATCTTCTGTGCCCCGGCCATCTATCACTAATACACTAGATACACAATCCCTTACAAAAGTCTAAAAAATGTCCCTAAACGTTTTGACATAACTATAGTTATATTAAATATACATTGATTTAAATTCAACCTTAATAACTTTAGATAGGGTGGTCTTTACAAAACTTCGAACAAGAAGAAACAAATTTTTATGAGCTATATTAATCAGAACAAATTCAACCTTACGGACTAGTGTGATGGACGGATTATCGATGGCTCCGGCAGATCGAAACAATCTACTGTTTCTCGAGGATTCGAACCAACGACCTCTACTACTACTAAACAGTTATTTAGCCATGTACATAATAATAATCGGTATGTCATATAATTATAATTGCTTTGTGGGCGCTGAAATATTTTCTTTATTTCTGTATAAATTATATTATTTTCTTCTGTATTCGAAAAAGTATAGATATGATCGCCTTACAAATTTAATGTTGAAATATGATCATTAGACTTGAAAATCGTAGTTTTAAATGTAACACATAACCAAAAAAAGTTTTCAAAAGTAGTTCTAACAAAATATTGTTTGTTGTTTACGGACGGTAAAAAATACTGCCTGTGCTCTCTGTATTTTTACGCGACTACACTTTTAAATAAAACACTTTAACGGTTTAGACTAACTAATAATTAAACTTATTTACATTTTTTTTACTACGGCATTACAATAGTTTTATTTAAATGTTACGATGTATTAAGGGACAAAATTATTTTCTGTATATTACATTTTTGAATGAAACGGACGCAGTAGGTAAAATGGAACATGAGTTTTATAGTTTTAGTAAACATGTATAAATGTTGCGCGATAAAGACACACGTCGGATTTGGAAAAGAGTAACGTGGGACCATTTTAATAAATATTGTTTCAAAGAGCTCAGAGCTGTGATATATCACGTCCGTCGTGTTCTCGACGATCTATATTTCATGTTTGTTCGGGCAAGGCCTAGCACCTGCGCCGACCCAACACTTCGCGAATCCACCTCCAGGGGGGCAATTCTTAAAAAGTGATACAATAACCTCGTCAACTTTTCTCACTAGTTTCATACTTTTAAATAAAACACTTCAACGGTTTAAAACGCGAAGATTTAGTTAAACTTATTTTAAAATGACTTTTAAGTTCGGCCCCACGTTTCGGATGCTTTGCAGCAGTCGTGGTCACGGGTCGTGTTTCATACTTTTTTATGATAGAGAACGACAAACAACCTTGAGATTTAAATAAAACACTTTAACGGTTTAAAACGCGATATATTAGTTAAACTTATTTGAAACACAGGTCACAGGGAGACCGCTGGGAGACGGCTGCTGCAAAGCATCCGAAATGTCGGGCCGAAGTTAAAAATCATTTTCAAATTAGTTTAAGTAATATATCGCGTTTTAAACCGTTAAAGTGTTTTATTTAAATGTGTACTACTCGCGTAAACTATAGACAGTATTTAACCTTGAGATGTTATCATCTCAACTATGCGCTGTCCGCCTATCTTAGCTTTGAATATTTGGAAATATACAGACTGGAACCGAAACGCGATTAACCTTTCGTCTGTGGACGATTCGTGACTCGGACGAAATTTGTTAGCAATTCAATAACCAAATTTCCAGACGAAGTCCAAGACGTTTCAGGAAAAATATATATTGATTAGAAACATGGAACAAGTGGGGAACGAACCCACGACCCGTTCATTATTACCTATACATTGCTATCATTACAAAGAGGAGCCTGTTAAATAGGATAATGAGTTAAATACTCAAAATAGGTCCTATACTCGTATCTTTTATCCAATAATCGAGTTAAAAATCCTAGCTTTCCATTCTGTTGATCAATTGTCAGTACATCTCTTGCGCTCCCATTTTTATATTCAACATTCACTGTTCCACATTCACTGTTCCATACAATTCGATATAGCCCTGAATGTCGGTCAAATCGGTCACAGCTGTAATAAGAATTGCCCCCCCATATGTAAATTTGTCACACGAGACGTTCAAAACTGGCACGTGACAACTGCCATCTCAGTTGTGGCTTGAAGAAAGCCCTGAAACGATACTTTGACGGCGTTTGTAATTCTCCTCACGATGTTGTAATATGACGTCGAGATTATCACTTGTCTAACTTGGACTAGTTAAAAAACTTTGGGACGATTTTTAAAAAAAAACTCTTTTCGTGGGTAAAAGGAGACAGCAAGTTCGTCTGCAAGAAATTTTAAATATAAATATGTATTCGAATAAAACACTTAAACGGTCTAAAACGAGATATATATATTAATTAAACTTTTTTACAAGTTGTCCTAAACTGTAGTTATAATAATTTTCGTACAAGTTTAACTAATATATATTGCGTTTTCAACCCTTAAAGCGTTTTTTTTTAAATACAAGTAAACTACAGACAGTATAAATGTGTTGCGCACTTAAACACTATGTAAAAAAAATTGGCGATAGAGGAGTAGCGGCGAGTTTATTGCCAGTTCTTCTCGTTCGTTCTATACCCATGATTTGAGAACTGGTAGTAAAAGTAATTTTAGAGTTCTTAGTTCTGTGATGTTCATAAATGTACCAATGTGAATAAATGACTTTTGACTTTGACTTTGACATTTAACGAATAAACGCAACAACGCCTCGTTAGTCCTGTGGGCAGTGAACATAACAGTGGAAAGTGAAAAGTCAGTGCAGTATTTAGAATATTTATCTGATAAAGCAAGTGTCTTCTTTCTTAGCAGTGGTTTTCAGTTATCATCTAACTTAACTACACTTAAGGAGCATGGTAGGTCTAGTATTAGTCTCTATATACTTCTCTCATTTAGGCAACAGAGATGCCGTTCAAGTCCTGCCCGAGCCCGTTTGATTTTTATTAGTTTATATTTCTCTTTTAGAAGGAGATCTGTCAGTGGGACAATCATAGGTTGCAACGATATTTCATTTTTAAGTGTTTTACTTAAAGGTATTGGTTACAAACTTTTTTCACGACACGACATAAACTTATTTTTAATTTATGTTAACTACAGCCCGACGTTTCGGATGCTTTGCAGCAGCCGTGGTCTCGAGAGGGCCCACCGTATCAAAATCCTGGTATTAAAAATACTTAAATACAGTATACAAGAGGACTCGGCAAGTTTCTAGAAATACTAAGTACGATAAAACAGATGGCGCTAGCGTAGCAGATTTTTTTAACATCAGGGTCACCCTCCATCTTCAGTCCGTAACCACGAATGTTTCAAAGCATCCGAAACGTTGTAGTTAAGATAAATTGTATATTAGTAAACCGATAGGTATATTTCACGTTTCAAACCCATAAATGTATTTCATTTGACAGTGTACTCTCGTAAACTATGGACAAAACGATCAATACCTAACTTGAACCATATGA